ATTTTCTTTTGTTTACTCAGACTTTGGTTCATATTGTATTAATAAAAAGTAAACTTGTTGGGAATAATATCAAAGCCTTCGATTTTACAAGAAACGGAAAAATTCTCGTATAGCCAGCCCAACACATTTGACAAAGGCCTCAGCACGCCCTTATTTGGCCAGTCTGCGGTTCTTTCCTCAAATGTCCCACACGTGAAGTATGGGATCGTTTTATTCACAGGGATGAGAAGAATATGATTAGTGAAAAGATATGTTCGAACGGGTGGGTTACAATACAATGCCTGAAGAACGCCTGAACGTACAAATTAAAGGAAGTCTTGTGTTTTTGAGGTCGGGCGTATACATGCGAGTGTCAAAGTTGACTACACTAATAAGTTTAGGGTTAACTTTAATAGTTTGTCCAGGCACCCGGTTCTCCATCTCTATCGTACAATCGCACTCCCTATTATATCTTATATGATCTAAACTCTTGGTAACTCATAACCCTTTTGGCCATTCTAGTAAATTAAATGTAACTAAGTCGACAATTTGATTTTTACTAAGTCGAAATTTCGAGTTACTTAGTGGAAATTACGAGTAAGTAAGTCGAAATTTCGAGTAAGTTAGTCGAAATTACGAGTTAATATGTCGAAATTTCGGGTAAGAAAGTCGAGAGTTCGAGTTAATAAAAAACACACCTGACTCTAATGCTCTTCCGTAATAACAAGCATGGAAGAAGCGAACATTTAATGAAAGAAAGTCATGCAGATCCTTTCACAGTTGTCAAATTTGTTTTATTACAAGCTCAGAACAGAAAAATAATTATTTCACGCGGAAAAAGACGTACAAAATGAATGACCCCTTGTTTTGTATATAGATAGTTTTGAATTATACTCAATTCAAGCGGATACATTAAATAAAAGATAAATTTAAAGAATAATTAACTTGTTGGTTTGTAAATAAAACACATGTATACAACATAACTTACAGTCGAGGATCGGGAAAAAGACAGATAGTTGTAGTAATTCAGGGCTTGAATTTTTTAAGGCATGACTTCAGACGTGCTTTAAATGATCAGCAGAATTTACGAAAATCTATATAATTTGAAAATGTCATTTTGCCTTGTTAACAATACCTTTCTTTCGGTCTTATTTATTTATTTGAATAAATAAAATTAAAAAAATAAAAAAATTCGGCGGCACTATCTTTGCCAGTTACCGTTTATGTTTAGGGGTTTGTTTCTTCTGGTAATATGAAATTGGATAGCTCCATTCATTATGTGGTATTTTTAAGAGCTGGCGCAGATTTAACAAATAATGAATAAACTTTCGGACAAATATGTACACATTTTGTCAATTGTACGATCGAAATTGAATATAATATAGATAATCATACGGTATTTAACTATTTATCAATTGCAGAATGACATTATCAATTACTGGCATGTGTATTAAGCTATACCAAACGTTTGAGTTATTGCCTAGGTACCGGAGCTCCAGATCTTTGTATTATTATTATTATATACCACATTTCTATAGCACTCTTTTCATAAATAATAAATGTTCAAGAGTGATTTACATAAATCTGATAAAACATAATCAAATATATTAATTAAGTAAACCTATTAAACAATAATGACAATCTAAAACTAGTAAAGGATGGTAAGCAATACAGACACATTCAGTTTAAAATCAAGGCTCAATTTAACAAAAAAATAAAATCCTATAAAAGATTTGAACGAAATAAGATTGTTCAAAAGGAACAAACAAAAGTAAAAAAAGAAATCAATTATAAAGTAAAACCCGTGGACACAAAATCTAAGACACAAATTACACTGGCATTGTAGCCAAAGTACATGTATGTTGTTTTATGATGTATGCTGTTTTATGAAACTAACGTCCATAGAATTCTATGAAATAATGTGTTTTGAGAGCTCTCTTAAAACTTGGCAAGGTATTACATTCTCTAATGCCAGGTGGTAAAGCATTCCATAATTTTGCTGCGACTGTCTCGAAGCACCTGTCACCATATCGTACTGTCCAAGATTTAGGCACAACTATTGTCACTGAGTTATTCTTGGACCTCAGCTTTCTGGCTGGAGTGTATACGTCTATCATGTCTTTTATATAGGCTGGTGACTGATCGTTGAGGGATTTATATGTATAAGTCAAAATTTTATATTCGACCCGATACGCTACCGGAAGCCAGTGAAGTTCACGTAAGATAGGTGTTATGTGATCATATTTGAGTGTTTTGGTCACGATTCTAGCTGCTGTATTTTGAGCATGTTGTAACTTGGTCATTGACTGCTTAGAGACTACATATTTACTAGAGATTTGGTTGCTTTAACAGTAAGATAGGGTCTGATGTGACCAACGTTTTTAATTGTGCATAACAGTTCCTACAGACATTATTTACATATTGTTCCATCTTCATGTTCGAGTCAAGAAATGCACCAAGATTGTGCACACTAATGATTGGCTGATTTTCGAACCGTCGACAGTCACGGTAACATCTGAAACAGGTTTTGCGTTATGTTCAGATGAGAAGATGATCAACTCTGTTTTGTCGCCGTTTAGCTTCAGCATGTTTACATTCATCCAACTAACAATATCATCAAGACATCTTTCAATGCGGTTTATATTCTCTTGAATTGAAATACTAGTCACTGGTTTGAAAGATAGATAGATTTGTGAGCCATCTGCAAAGAAATGGTTGATTAGTTCATGTTTACGGCAGATTTCTCCGACAGGTTTTATATACATCACATAGCTCTTAGGTCCCAGAACAGACCCTTGAGGTACAATGTACTCCATGTGGACTGGCTGTGAGAGTTTGTTGTTTATGCATACAGTCTAATATCGGTCGGTCAGGTATGACGTCATCCACGCGAGTGGCTTGCTTGTAATTCCAAAGTGTCGTTCAAGGCGGCGAAGGAGCGTTCCGTGATAAATTGTATCAAAAGCAACAGACAAATAAAGCATCACGAGAATAGTCATTTTGTTATTATCCAAAGACTGTAGAATGTCATTTGAACTTATAACAATGCAGTCTCGGGCGTATGGAACTTTCGATAAGCAGATTGGTTGACATCGTGTAGATTGTTTGTTTTCAGGTGGCTCTTAATTCGTACGTCAAACACCTTTTCCAAGATTTTAGACAAGAATGGCAAGTTAGACATAGGCCTCTAGTTTTTCAGTTCGTTAGGATCTAGATTTGGTTTCTTTAGAAATGATCTTAATCGTGAGTGTTTGAACATTTTTGGTACATAAGCGGCATCCAAGGACACGTTTATGAAACTGGTTATCACTGGTGTTAGTTCATCTAGGCATTCTTTTAACAGCCATGTTGGAATGGGATCTAACTCACAGGATTTGGTTGCTGACTTTTGAATCAATGCTTTAACTTCTTGTTCTGTGGTTGGAGCAAACTCAGTATATTTGACACCCGTACGTATATTCAGATTCCATATCTAGATTATCAGGTACCGATTATGTTTGAGAACGTATGTTATTTCTTATTGTTTCAATCTTTTCAATAAAAAAGTCATTGAATTTCTGGGCAAGGCGCTCTGAAGATGGATCAGATGGTAGAATCACTTCATTTGTATCTTCAAGTAGACCTTTGGTAATCTTAGATAGACTTTTATGATCAATGCCACAAGCAAGATTCTATTTAACTTGTATAGTATTCTACACGAGCTTGTTTTAACATCTTGTTCACATTCGAACACTGTGTTCTGTAGGTCTGATGGTCTAAAATAAATTCAAGTAAAGATAAGGCAATTGCTAGACAAAGTAATGAAAACGTTGACGATCTAGAAGATTCCGTTAACAAAAGAGCTGAAACTCTGCAGGAAGAAACGTTAGAAAATCTGACAAAGAAGCAAACACAAAACGAAAAAGATTTAGCTGACGAAACATCGTGCTTAAAGACGATTGAAAGTATTTTCAAAAATGGAACACCAGTGCAGAAAAAAATGTTTCATTATAAATTCCTATTCAAATCAAATTCCATTTTGATTAAAATAAGTAATATTGTTTAAATCTAAGATGACAATTAATGGGGAAAACATTGCGGGTAAAAATGAACTGAAATAAAACTATTGAAGACGAATAAAATGTTCTGTTTGTGGTAAGCATGGTTAGTGGAAGCTTATCCTATGCAAGTTAACAAGTTTGACTTCGGGCGAGTATCTTTTTTAAAGATACTTCTTGTTTTCTTTTTATTACTTTTGAAATTTAAGTTATTTATCAATTTCATCTTTGCTTTTTGTTTGTTACGTGTTCTTCACGCGATTAATATCGCATTGATGGGCACTAATGATCGCATAAAAGACTAGCGAAATTTAAACACGCGATTATATCGCCTCTAAAGGACGACATTTAGACTAAATTTAGTCTAAATTTCGCATATATTAAATTTCGCTGGTCTCATGTGATAATAAACGCACTTCAACGCGATAATTATCACGTGAGGAACACACAACATTCGAAAAATAAGACAATAATTATCGAGTTGAAATTGTTAAATTTTGTTAGTATAAGTGTCCCTGTTCGAAAGGCAATAATTATCGCCTGAGAGACTAGCGACTGAGAGACTAGTACTAAATATCGCCCTTTAGAGGCAATAATTATCGCGTGCTTACTAGCGAAATTTTGTGGAAGAAATAAGGCACGGTACACAACCTATAATATCATAATGGTACGACCGAATAATGTAAACGTATCGTGTTCGACTAATAATTCAGATATAGCCTTTATGGAATTTTAACTTCCGCGTAAGTTGATTTTTTTTTGCCAACGTAATGTAACCATTCGATAGATAACGTTTGGACTGGAACAATATATTATGGCTAACATGAACATTTTATTTAGTTAAATCAGTTTAAATCAGTTTAAAACAAATACTTGTTTCATTGAAATAAGTTTGTAAAGTCGCTGAATATTGACCTCGAGTTTTGAATATATGCACATGTATATATGTAATTTCTAAAAAGGGACAATATAATTCTTACAAAAATGGCAGATAGTGGAAGTAAAATAGGAGAAGATGATGAAGTTCCTGGTCGTGTGAAGGTAAATTTGTGTCAACCATGTTTAAGTAAGGATAAGCAAACTGGAGCTGACACGTTTTGCTCAACTTGTAATGAATTCCAATGTAATGATTGTTCAAATGTACACAACGTGCTCGCCATATTGAAAAATCATGAATTGGTGAGCGTGAAAGAAGCTAATGCTTTCACTACTTTGTTTGAAATGAAGAACTTAGATTTATGTGATCAACATGAAAAACTTTTTGAATACTTTTGTGAAGATGAAAAGAAGCTTTGCTGCAGTACTTGTGCTATTGATAACCACCGAAAATGTGACAACGTTGTAGAAATTGAGAAGATTGCCGGAAAAATAACCTCACCAACTTCTACCTTAGCGAAGAAATTGAAGGCAGCAAAAAAAGTTGCTGAGAGTGTTGCGAGACATGTTTGCTCTTCAAAAGATCAACTTGCTCACGATGTAAAAGAAATACATGAAATGATTAAACATATGCGAAACGAAGTAATCAGAATGTTTGACGATTTAGAAGATACCGTCGCCAAGAGAGCTAAAATTCTTCAGAGAGAAACATTAGAGATTCTGTCAAAGAAACAAACACAAAACGAGAAACATTTGGCTGATGTTACATTGTGCTTAGAGACGATTGAAAGTATTTTCAAAAATGGAACTCCAGTGCAGAAATATATAGCAGAACAGAAAATGGAGAGTAACGTCAATGCTCTCTGCAGAAACATTAAGGAGGACTGCCAGAAGTCAGAGACGGTTAACATTTCTTTTCATTTTGACGAAACATTAAAACTACCTCCATTACCAATTACAGAATATGTTCCAGGACAATTATTATTAAAGTCTACTCGCAAGGGAGATTTTGATAAGGCGATGAAGTTAACACCAGTTTCCGCTATTGTTTTGAAGAAGACGGGAGATGACATCAATAAACCGTTCTATACAGGCATAGATTTTCTGCATGATGGCAGACTGGTGGCTATGGATTACATAAACAAGAAATGTTTAGTGTACAATGAGAAGCTTGAGAAAGTAGGATCATTTAAGCTATCTTACTACCCATTATCTGTTGTTGCAGTATCTGAGGAGGAAGTTGCGATAACACGTGGTGATGAATACAATATAGAATATCTACATGTTAGTAAAAGTAATGAAATAACTTCAAGAAGGACATGTAAAGTGAAAACGAAATATGACTCTATTTGTTTGAAAGATGATAAACAGTTTGTAGTAGGGACTTTTGATGAACCAAGACCTGTTCGTATTGTATCATTCAAAGGAGAGGAGCGTGATTTTAAAGTAAAGTTTCCAAACAAGACATATCCTATAGGCTCTAGCGCTTGTACTTACATAAAGAGCTGTGACAAAGTGGTGATAACAGATAGAGACGAGCATACTGTCTACATATATGATATCAAGACAGACACGAGAGTCTTAGTGAAGGATGATCAGATACAGGAACCATGTGGTGCAGCAGTTGGCCCTTCTGATACTGTCCTGGTGTGTTGTCGTAACACAAACTGTATTGTACAGATATCTCAAAGAGGTCAGATATTATCATCGTACAAGTTAGATATGACATATCCATATGAAGTGTGTGTCTCACGTTATAAATCTTTTCTTGTTGTTGCAAATAACTGTCCTGGAAATATGAAAATGCAGAAATTCAAAATATCATGTTAGTAACACAATCTTATGTTTCACATAGAATATTTACACACCCATGCAAAGTTTTTTAAGAATGAAACAAGAATTTATCGGTTACATATGATGGACAGATCGTGAAATAATACTTACGTTCTAGCATCGAAGTAGCTGTTCATAAGAAAAAGATATTCAAATTAAACACTATGCTGAGAAGAAGTGTGCTAACAAAAAATGTAGTTAATGTATGCTATGACAGACATATTAAACATCTCTAGCATCAGGTGTAAACAATTTAATATTAATAATTTCAATGATTTCAATTGATATGTTTATTTCATTATAGGCACACGTGCGTTAAATTCGAATTTCATCTATTAATCGGACAGATTGTACTTTGCACGTGCGAACACAATCAAACAGAGTTTGCAAGTTTCATACAATTTAATTGGGACTATTGTTTCTGAAGAGTCACCCTTTCACAATGTTTTTACTTAGGTCGGCTTTTATGTAAAGTTTATGTTTTGTACCATAGTTATATAATGTCACAACGTTCTTTTAATACCTTAAACTCTTATATCTTGCCTGACCTAAAAGTGATTAGCTTTTGCCACCAGTATACAAGCCAAACCAGCATACATGTACATTCGAGCAATTTTTTCCTATATAATACAGTTTAAATGGACTGTAAAGGCGAATCCTTTTCACGAATTAAGGTTCGGGATTAATAACAAGGAAGTTGATAAGATAAAGTTTACATAAGTTTCTTGGCTTGAGGTTTCACTTTTTTATTGTAAAATATACGTACCATAAATATTTGTATATAATTATTGTTAGCCATTGTATGAAGTTATATTAGAAAATTGACATACTTTACTGTCTCATATTATATACCTATCATGCTCATCAGGATGAATAAATGTAACTATCCGGAGTTATAGTATTCGTGTTTTATATTCTAATTGCATTGCTTTATTCTAATATCATACATAATAATTTCTCCCGTAAATATTCAAAAGGGGAGAAAATGAAAAAAAGCTTAACATGTGAAATATATTCCCTTGGTGTATTGTGACATTGTTATAATAAGACTTTAAAAAAAAACATTTATACGTTTAAGTCAAATAAATCAGTCAGTCAATCATATTTCTATTCAGAATGATTTTCAAAAGATCAATATTGTCAAACAATGCATAAAAGTGCAATTGAATTAACGAATTCACGATTTCAGCAACATGGATTTATGCGGGGAAATACTACTTCCGGTCGATTTTTCATATCAGTAATATAGGGGCCTCTTTAACGTCACGACTGCGCATGCGCGGCGCCATATTGGATTCTTTTTTTAGAATGACATCATCGTTCTATATTTAGAAATTCATTTTTAATCTCCCGGAAGTATACGGAGCTGACTCGTATACACGATTTAGGGCTTGAATCGCGGACATTGAAGGTCAGGTCCTCGGCCCTAGACGGGG